GGTGCACTATTCCCTAGTAGTTAGAGGATCTTAAGATGCCTTAACAAGCAGTTTCTTGGTCCTTTGCTAGATACATTTTTTTAAATATTCTTTCTCCCTCCATTCTCAATTCCTAAAAAAAAACCTCTCAATCCTATCAAAACATTATTCTAGCAAGTCTCCCTCTTCTATTTCTACCACTACTTCCATGTTACTGACAAGTGCAATTCATATAAAATATACAAAGGCAAGAAACATATGAAACTGAGAGATGTACTATATTATTCCTCACACTCATTGCATTATGCATGATATGGAGTTTCATAAAATATTGCATATTGTATGTCTACTATTTTTTTTTTTTTTAAGTTGGGGTCTCGCTCTGTCGCCCAGACTGGAGGGCAGTGGTCACTACCGGCCACCGCAGCCTCGACCTGCTGGGCTCTGGCGATCCTTCTGCCTCAGCCTTCCAAGTAACCAGAATTACAGGCATGCGCTACCACGCCCGGCTGATTTTTTTATTTATTGTAGAGATGAGGTCTCGCTGCCCAGGCGGGTCTCGAACCCGCGGGCTCAGGCAATCCACTCACCTCAGCCTCCCAAAGGCACGGGATTACAGGCTGAGCCACTGAGCCCAATGACTACTATTTTTAAGTTTACCTGTGTTACCAGTGTACCACCCTGGATTATCAATAACTACCCTCACAGAGGAGATGAGTAAATGAAATAACATGTTGGTCCTCTTTGTTCATGTAACATATAGCAGGTCCTTGAATAATGTTGTTTCACTCCTAGGCCCAAGCAATTCTCCTGCCTCAGCCCCTCAAAGTGCTGAACCACCATGCCTGGCCAGAGGGGAAAAAAATACTCGATTTTCAGCTAGGGCCACTGTCTGTATGGAGTTCCCACACTCTCCCCATATCTGTGTGGGTTTTCTCTGGGTACTCTGGTTTCTTCTCACATACCAAAGATGTACATGTTAGGCGAACAGGCGTGTCTGAATGGTCCCAATATGAGTGAGTGTGTATCTGAGTGCTATGCCCTGTGATGAAACAGAGTTCTGTCCAGTTTTGGTTCCCACCCTGTTACCTGAGCTGCCAGGATGGGTTCCAGTTACCTAAGACCCCAAACTAGAATAAGAAGGTTAAAAGAATAAATGAATACTAATTATTTTAAAATAAAAATGTGTAAAGTATATGATAAACATACAAGACAATAAACGATGCGGTACAAATGTGCCCGGCGAGTCCACCATATTTGCTATTTGTTTCTGGGCTGCGTGGTAGGAATAGCTCTTTATCATTTTTGCTTCACTGACATTTATGCCTTGATTTCACTCACAACTACGATCACCGTCATTTATCAATTCACTAAAAATGGAATAATTCTTGCTTGTTTTTGTAATATTTCTTAAACAATTATGTCAACGTTTAATTTTAGAAGTGTTTCATGTTTTTATTTATAAGTTTTGTGATGTTTGTGACCAGAAGTATGCTGTAGGAACTTAGCTCGTTTATATAAATTAGCCTATGGCAAACTGACTTCATTATATGTTGTTTTGCTTAATGTTGCATTTTCCAAGGCCCTATCAACATTGGTAAGTGAAGACTTACTGTAATATAAATTGTCTTTTCCTGTGCATTCACATTATACTGTTTTCCCTATTTCAGTTCTCAGTATATAGACCTGTGTACCCCAAAGTAATATGACTATTAGGATTCAAACAGCTCTTTGAACTCATGTTCCCAGAGGAGCATTATTCACAATAGCCAAAAGGTGAAAGCAACCCAAGTATCAATCAATGGAAGAACAGATAAACAAAATGTGATACATACATGCAATGGGTATTACTCAACCTTTGAAAGGAAGGACATTCTGATACAAGCTATAACATGAATGAACATTGAAGACATTATGGTAGGTGAAAGGATAATGAGTCCATTTATATGCAGTACAAGAGTAGTCAAATTCAAAGAGACTCAAAGCAGAATGGTGGTCATGAGAGGCTGAGACAGAGGAGGTAATGGGGAGTAATTGTTTAACGGATACAGAGTTTTAGTTTGGGAAGATGAAGAGTTCAAGGATGGTGGTGATGGTTGTACAACAATATGAATGAACTTAATGCCACAGAACTGTATACTTAAAACTTAGTTAAAACGGTAAATGTTATGTTATGCATGTTTAACCACAATAAAAAAAAATGCTTATTAAAAGATATACTACTCAGTAATGAGATACTATACCTGATATATTTCAAACTGAGTATGGCTAGCAGTGAGGTAGAAAAGCAACAAGCAGATAGAGAGATTTGTAATAACTGGACTGGGCCTTGCTGGGTGAAGGGGTACAACCAATGTAAAGTCAAAAGTCTCCTTTAAGTTTTGACTTTCCTGGAAACATATTTTAATCCTGAGCCTACTTTCTCCAAATTAGCTGTTTCTTTTTGTCCTTTCTAGTGACACTGTGTATTGCTTCTAGCAGAGGTTCAGTTTCACAGCCTTTCTCCAGTGCCCTATGCTGAAAGTAAAATTTACACATTCTAAGGCAGTGGTTTTCAACAGTGGGCAATTTTGTTCCCCCTCTTCTCTCACACCAAGGGACACTTGGCAATGTCTGGAGACATTCTTGGGTTGTCACGACTGTGGGTGGCATGGGGTGGAGAGAGGTGCTACAGCCAGGGATGCTACTAAACTCTACAATGCATAGGACAGCCTCCCACAACAAAGAATTAATTAGCCCAAAAACGTTAGTAATGTTTTGTTGGAGAAATCCTGTTCTAAGGTTTTACTAAGTTGCTTGATTTATGGTAGAAATTGATCATAAGTTAAGTTTCCTCCCGTTGGATGGCTTGAACCCTGGAATTTGGGGCTGTAGTGTCCTATGATCATGCCTGTGAATAGCCACTGTACTCTGTACATAGGCAACATAGCAAAACCTTGTCTCTTACGAAAAAAAAAAAAGAAGTAGAAGTTTCCTCCTTTTATTCCCTACTTTCTCTTCTCATTTATTTTGAGGAAGCAGGATAAGGACCATTGGTGACACTTTAGGTGAGAGGAGGCCACTTACACTCTCATTCTTTTCACCCTGGCCAATTCTACCCATAATACTTTAAATACTGGGGCAAGGTAAAAACCAGAGGCGGTGGAGTACGACTTGTGACCAAGCTGCTGGGGACAGAGGAGAAGAAAACAAAATGAAACAAATTCAAGAGAAGACAGTGGAAAGCAGTGTCTATACTATCTGGATTGGGTAATTCTTCCTAACAGTAATTTGAATATATCTGAGTTGGATAGACATACTATAGAGATGTATATGAGGAAATATGTATTTTAATAAGGTTAAAACCAAGATTTCCCAACTCAACATACTATTTATTACCTAAAACCTGCATTTCTTCTGAGGAAGAGTATAATGTATAATACTAATGTGTCTATAATAAGAATAAATACTTTTGCTCTTATTTTCCTCTTATTTGATATTGAATAACAACAGACTTGTTACAGAAGTATAACTCATTTGGTATAATGTAGGTATTTTGAGAAATTCATTAAAATTCTCATGCCACTAAACCAAATTCTTTATTATGCTACACATTAAAATGATGACTTCTTATAGGTAGTTTGGAAAACTGACAGGACATACTAAAACTGAAAATAAGCACATCCCATGATCCAATAACTCCTAGGTATATATTCAACAGAATGCATAACATTCACCAAAAGACACTTACAGGAATGTTCTCTATGGCACTATTCATAACAGCCCAGAATTGGAAATTCCTCCAATGACCATCAATGGGCGAATGGATCGTTAACTTTGGATATAATAAAAAGTGGATAATTAAATAGAAGACTATAAAGCAATGAGAATGAATGAACTACAAATACAAGCAAAAATATGGGTGAATCTCACTTTGGTAGGTTAAATGATGGTGATCAAAGATATCCAAGGCCCCAATCCCTGGAACTTGTGAATGACACTTTACATGGCAAAAGAGACTTCATAAATGTGATTGATTACATTATGGATCTTGAGATGGGGAGATTATCCCTGGTTTATCTGGGTGGGCCCTAAACTCTAAATGCAGAGGCAGAGGAAGATCTGAGTACAAAAGAGAAGATGATGTGATGACAAAAGCAGGCTTTGCTCATGGGGAAGCCACAGGCCCATGACTACAGGCAGTCACTAAAGGCTGAAAAAGGTAAGGAAACATTTTCCCTCACAACCTCAAGACGAAACTAACCCTGCTGATACCTTGATTTTGGCCTAAAGAAACGGAATCTGAACTCCTGACCTTCAGGACTGTAAGAGAATAAATTTGTATTGTTTTAAGTCATTAAGTTTGCGGTAATTTGTTATGGTGGCAACAGGAAATTAACACATTCGCAAAAACGATGAATAAAAAGGTACATTATATATCACTGTACTTGTACAAAATTAAAAGTGGACAAAACTAATCTATGGTTTTAGAAGTCATGACAGTAATTTTTAGGAGGAAAAAAGATAGTGTTAAGATGGGGCAAGGGGGGCTTCTGGAGTGCTCATAATACTCTGTGTTTTGATCCGAGGGCTGGTGGTATGAGTTGCTTAATTTGCAAAAACCCCTATTTGTGTACTCTTCTGTGCATACAGTACATGCAGTTTTAAAAATTGGTACATTTCTAACTCTTCTCAATCTGATAATCTGAAGAAAAAGACAGATATATATTTAAGGGGATGGAAAAATACTAAACAATAACTATTTCTCAAGAACGCTAAAGATTTTGCTTCTCTAAAAGTTGGAAAAAAAAAAACCCAAAAGTAAAATACTGCTAAGTAGCTTTGTTATGGTCAATCTTAGGACTGCAAACTACAAAAACACAAATAAAACCACATTTTCTGAAATAATAGTAAGCAAAGTTTCGAGAAAGGCAGGTACTATGTACCAAATGACCAAAATGTCTTTTGGGTCTAAGATTCCTGAAACTAATAAAAATGGTAATAATAGAAATCCCTCTACAGATCATTAAATATAAAAACAATTTATAAAATACATCAGAATTTTATTGCTTAAAGAATACAGCATATGAAATCACAAGAATGTCAAAATGAAAAGTCACTAGGCTTCAAATATATAATACATTATCAGATGCAGTAAAATAGTGACCTGAACTCTGCATCAGAAAAAAAAAGTGGAAAAATATCTAAGTTGTTTACTTAAGAAACATATATACTTAAAATATTACGTATAAGAATGTTACAGTACAAATTAGAAAAGCCAACACTTATTATTATTTTTCTAGACTAGACTACCTTTGGTACAATTCCTTCTATCTAATCTAAATGCACTTCATGGATATGACATCCATAAAGTAACTTCAACTTAAAACATCAGTAAAATTAACCTTTTCATTATATGGGGGGGAGTGTTTAATAAATGTATAACAAAAATATGATCACCAAGAAATGTAATACTGATAAAACTTTGCTTATTTATCTCTCCAGTTAAAACTGGAATCCTGGTAGCCATAATATGTTTTGGGGCTAGGTGAACATATAAATTTAAAGGATTTGGCAACTGACATAGGAATTAAGTACTTCCTACTATATTAAGTGACTTTTCTGTTTCAAAATATAGATACTACGCCATTTCTTCAACACGCTGGATACCTATAATCCCTACCATATTTTATTTATTGGAACCAAATTAAAGATCCTCTCTTTTAATAAGCAGGTTGAAACTATTTATGATTCATATAGCGCTGATCAGTTATGATATCCTTTCTTAAATAAAACCAATCTTTTTTAAAGCTATTACTCAATTATGATGGAGAGAATAATGCCATTTCAAAAGGTAGCACTGGACTCTAGGTCATCTAGTCAAGAAAATGTAAAAGTAATGCTAAAAACAGTAAGTAAACTACAACCACAAGTTAAATTTAAAAGAAAATCCCTCTCTCGTAGCAAGTATGCTCATTAACTCATTTCTTTATCCCAGAAAAGGTCTGAATATCCACGAATCTCAGTTAAACCAACGGAACCCAAGCAATTGTTTCACAAATCCCACCTATATATCTGAATAATATACGTATGGATGGACTAAGCAAATAATATTATTAACAATTATTGAATTGGAGTGAAACAGTAAGAATGACGACAGTCCTCAAATTGGGCAGTCTTTAAAATGTCATAGTGTAGCTCAAGATGAATTATGCTGTGATAAAACTAGTTTTTACCTCTACATAAAACAAAAACAAAATAAAAAACATAGCCCACCAAATTTATACAATTACTATTAAACATACTCCTCCTTCTTAGTTTTTCAATGTCTTGTTGTAAGGTTTTTCTAAACAAAGTGTATCTAGTTGAGCACATATATTTATTGCCCATACATATACCTACTCATTTTAAAAGATAAATTCAGATACTATAAACTGAACTCTTCTCACCAACCTGATCCAATGTCTATGACTCGCACAGCACCCCCACTCAACAATTTTAAAAGCCCCAATTTTTAGTTTATGTAAAAGGGCAAAAGAAATGCAAATGCAGATTTAGAGCTTCTGTATAAATTTCACTGTATTTTTATAAACTTGAGAAGTTTTCTGTAATACTGTTTATTGATCAAATAAAGGACTCACTGCTATCTAAAATTTCATAAACACCATTAAAAATTCAAAATTGATATTATACTGAACCTTAAATTTTCAATAGTTCAAAGAGACAATTTTTACATGTATAGCACACAACAGATGAAACTTAACAGCAGACATCCCTAGAATACCAATGGCAAGTCCACCAAGATGCATACAAAATTACAGATAAGCATTTCTTTCACTGTTTTGTTGTGCAGGAAAAACATTTATAGAGGAAAAAGAAACTCAGCTGGTGAATTTCAGATATCATCATCATCTTCTTCATCCTGAGAAGATCCTGCCTGATTAGATGCACTGGCTGAGGCAGCAGCAAGTTGGGCTTGTTGGGCAGCTTGCTGCATTTGAAGCCATTCCTGTTGGGCCAATTCTGCTTGTTGCTGTCTAGCCTAACACCAAAAACATAAAAATAAATAACAATTTTTTAAAAACCCATAATATATTCACTTTGGTTAAATGTAAATTAAGTCAATCACAGACTTAGTTATTATCAAACTTGGATATTTCCCAACTACTATGCAATAGTTATACATCTGGAAAACATGAACTCTACAAAGTAAATATAATTAAAAATGGCTTTTCTCTAATCACACAGGCCTAAGGAGTTTCTCAAATTTGGCTCTTTTATATATGGTTTCCTTTTATGTCACATAATTTATGATCAATGATTCAACTAAAGAGGCTGAAAAGGTTGACAGGGAAAAAAAAATCCCAATATTCTCTTTTTAGCTCTTTTCCCTGTATTTCTTTCTTCCTTTCATCTCACTTGATTCTTTCTGTCCCTTCAAATTATAATATTGATATAAATATGTTTAAATCTAAACTTTGTTTATATGGCTTAAAAGTTTTCTAATAGAATACCTCTAATTCTTAGGGTAAAAGAACTGTATATAAATGCAGTAGCTACCCTGACATTTCTTTCTAAATTTCGATAACAATTTCTTACCCTCTGCCCCCTTCCCTCTCTCCATAAATAAACACATATGTATATACACACATATACAAATATACATATCCTCCCCATATAAACACTAGTGAAAAGATACTACTTAAAATCCCTCCATTTGATGTATCATCTATTAAAAATCACCACAGGATTTTAGAAACCAAATGCATACATGTGAATTATATGCAACAGCTGAGGCTCACTCTCAATTCAATTTCACCTGTTTGCAGAAAAACCACATTAAGAAGGGAAAAATGAACCTGATCTTGAAAACTGTCTAGCATAACACTCGAAAAAGTTTTATAATTTCCCATTAGACTCTACCAAAACATGTTTTTCCCCTCTGTCTTTTTTTTGGACTTGTTCTTTAAGTTTGGCTCATATCCTCCTTTTATGCACAGCTAACTTCCAGTCATTGTTTGAAACACAAATCAGTTGGTCTTTCTTGACCCTTCTAGACCACGTTGTGTGTTCTAGTTCATATGTCATAATTTCTACGCATTCTTTTTGTTTGTTTGTTTGTTTTTTGAGTTGGAGTCTCACTGTCGCCCAGACTGGAGTGCAATGGCCGCTCCCGGCCACCGCAGCCTCCACCTGCTGGGCTCCGGCGATCCTTCCGCCTCAGCCTTCCAAGTAGCTGGAACTACAGGTGCGCGCTACCACGCCCAGCTAGTTTTTGATTTATTGTAGAGAGGAGGTCTCGCCAAGTTGCCCAGGCGGGTCTCGAACCCGTGGGCTCAGGCAATCCACTCACCTCAAGCCTCCCAAAGGCGCGGGATTACAGGCTGAGCCACCGAGCCTGGTTTTTATGCATTCTTATATCTTTGTTAAATAATGATCTAAGTCTATACACTTTTCTTCAGCAAACTTGAGAATAGACTGTTTTCCTATTCACTGTTACATTCTTAACACAAGCCCTCAGTATTTTTTGAATGAATGTATTACGAGAAAACAGTGATGCTCGGCATAAGTGGGCATCATTAAGATTTTACCATGTTCAATCTTCACTTTTCTTAATAATTTGTAATGATTTTATTATCCAAACATTTCTAGATGACAATCCAAATCAGGTCATTATTCACTTTAAAAGTCATTTGTTAGCCGGGTTCGGTAGCTCAGCCTGTAATCCCGCGCCTTTGGGAGGCTGAGGTGAGTGGATTGCCTGAGTCCGCGGGTTTGAGACCCGCCTGGGCAACTTGGCGAGACCTCATCTCTACAATAAAAATTTTAAAAATGAGCCGGACGTGGTAGCGTGCGCCTGTGGTTCCAGCTACTTGGAAGGCTGAGGCGGAAGGATTGCTGGAGCCCAGCAGGTAGAGGCTGCGGTGGCCAGGAGTGGCCACTGCACTCCAGTCTGGGTGACAGAGTGAGACTCCGACTCAAAAAAAAACCAAAACAATCATTTGTTATCAATTAAGTCCAAATTTCTCAGGTTAGAATTCAAGGTCTTCCAAAATAATGCCTACTCCAATCTCTCTCTAATCTTTTGTGTAATGTGTACCTTGTGCTTTAAAAAAACCCAGAACAAGCCGGGCTCGGTGGCTCAGCCTGTAATCCAGTGCTTTGGGAGGCTGAGGTGAGTGGATTGCCTGAGCCCGCGGGTTTGAGACCTGCCTGGGCAACTTGGCGAGACGTCATCTCTACAGTAAATCAAAAAATTAGCCAGGCGTGGTAGTGCACGCCTGTAGTTCCAGCTACTTGGAAGGCTGAGGCGGAAGGATCGCCGGAGCCTGGCAGCTTGAGGCTGCGGTGGCCGGGAGCAGCCACTGCACTCCAGTCTGGGTGACAGTTAAGATTCCAACTCAAAAAAAAACCAAAAAAAAAAACCCAGAACATATTTTCCAAATATACACTTAACTTTTTCATCTTCACTACCTTTACTCATGCTGACATTCACTCTGTTTGAAATTTCCTAATTTTAATCTACCTGTTAGTCAAACTGAAATACTATGTTCTCCTCCGAGGTCACCTTAGTTATGAGAATAGAAATAACTTAGAATCAAGAATTGTTAACCAAGCATAAAATTAGAATTAGCCAACTGAAAAAGTGAGAAGAGAACACTAAGATAACATGGAAGTGACAACCACAGGGAAGCAGCCACCCATCCTAAAACTGAGGAAACAAAGAAAGAGGCTGGAATTTTTAAAATTCAGAGGCTTAGAAGAAAAAAAACCTACGGAACTGAAACTCAGATCTCTGATGAACGGTCATAAGTAGGCTGGTACTAAAGTATCTGTGCTTGGAGGAGGGCCCCAAGGCCTGGGATCCCCCTGTAGGTATTAGAGAAAATGCTAACTAGATTCAGTTCCTGCAACAGGAGAAACTGATGCAACCAATTGATGTCACTGAGCTGGTCAAAGGAACTATAAGCCAAAAGGAGGTAAAAAGAGAAAGTCCTTTCTTCTTCCATCCTTGCAATCTCCTTCTAAAGCCCCATACTGGCACCAGAGTCTAATGGGGAGTCAGCTAGCAAAAAAGACATGGTTTTGGGGGTATTAGGTCCAGTCATAAAGCAAAGCATATACAGAAAGGTGGGGTGGGGCTAATACAACTACTTAGTAACGCATACTCATCTACCCCAAAGTCTAATGTGATGTCTCTACACTTGGGATCTCTTTCTCATGAAAGTAGTCAGCCTCACAACACAGTTGTTAGTGCATCTTTATTATAACTCCTCTACAAGATGCTACATTTCTTAAGAACAAGAATGGTGGCTGGGTATGGTGGCTCACGTCTGTAATCCCAGCACTTTGAGAGGCCCAAGCATAAGGATTACTCGAGCCCAGGAGTTAGAGACCAGTCTAGGCAATATAACAAGACCTCGTCTCTACAAAATGTCAAAAAATGAGCTGGGTGTGGTGGTGCACACCTGTAGTCCCAGCTATTCAGGAGGCTAAGGTGAATTAAGCCTCAGTCCAGAAGGTCCAGGCTGTAGTAAGCCATGATTCTGCCACTGTACTCCAGCCTGGGTGACAGAGTGAGATTCAAACTCGGAAAAAAAAAAAAACGAAAATTAACTAATTAAATAAAATAGGGGGTGAAAGAGAGGTAAGCAGACATCTACTTACTAATTCACTACTTTTGGAGATTTTCATTGTTTTAAGATTCTTATTCCCATATGCTAAAATGATTCATTTCTAATTTACAGTTAACTTTAATTTTAATGTATCAGGGGTCCCCCCTTCCAAATATCTACTAGCTTTAGATAAGGCTGTCATTATATTAGTATTTAAAAAGAAGTCTAAAAATGAAACAACAAAAGTAATTTAAAAATTGCATTTCCTAATCGGTTCCTTTCATGTTTACAACTTAAGTACTTCGTGCTCCAGGGAAGAAGTAATAGGCAGTTGCCTATTTCTCTGCATGTCCTCCTCACAAGGGCAAAGAAATACTAGGGATCTTTGCCCATAGGCCAGGGTAAAAATAAGGGAGATCAGAGGAATAAAAAACTGATAACAGGGATAGAGAGGTGAAGACAGAGATGGCAGGCAGTCAGTTATTTCTTTACATTTTGTCCTGGCAAGGATACTGCATATTCTATTTAACAGTTCCACCATAAATTTTAAGCAGATAAAATGGAGGCTAGAGCACTAGAGTATAGGTTTTAAAGTCAAAAGACAGGAATTTAAATATAGACTCCAAACACTTCCTGTCTGACCTTACTTGCATTATTTTAAGCCAATCTTTCCCAGTAGACTAAGCTCTATAATAATAAGGACTTTGTCTCTTTTGTTGAATGTTGAAAGTCTGGCACCTAGCACAATGCCTGGTAAGTAGAGAGGACTTCAGTAAAAACCTGTAGAATGAGCAAATAACTTCATGCAAGTTTCTCCACCTCTCAGTCATTACTTAATATGTAAATTAATAAAATAAAATTTGAATCATTTCATTAAAACTCTGCAATATATGGCCGGGGTGGTGGTGGCTCAAGCCTGTAATCCTAGCACTTTGGGAGCCCAAGGTGAGAGGACTGCCTGAGCAAAGGGGTTCAAGACCAGCCTGGGCAACTTGGTGAGACCTTGTCTCTACAATAAAATAAAAAAATAGGCCAGGCGTGGTAGTGCACGTTTGTAGTTCCAGCTACTTGGAAGGCTAAGGTGGAAGGATCCCCTGAGCCCAGCAGGTTAAGGCTGTGGTGGCCGTGAGCGTGCCACTGCACTTCAGCCTGGGCAACAGAGTGAGACTCCTACTCAACAAAACAAAACAAAACTGCAATATGTAAAGTATTCAGCAGAGTATCTTCTTTCTTTCTCATGAATTGTTTAATTTGGCACCCTCTAGGTGATGTGCAATAGAAGAGAATCAATAAAAAACACCCATTAATGTTTTAAAACAAGATGATTTCTTCTTTGTTACCTCATAGTCATATGGATTACAACACTGTTTGCATGTATTCATGCCTGTTTCAAAGGCATTTCCTCTTTAGTACCTATTATAAGTTACTGTGAGGATTAAATGAGACATAACAGGTAAATAACTTGGTTATGTGATTAATATGGTTAGAATTCAATAAATGATAGTAAGCTTTCATTTTTCTCATAGGTTTAAATGGGACTTTGTGCCTAGCGCCTAATAACACTTAAGTCTCAACTGACTTTTGATGCAAACCAAACTGATTGTTATGGCTGCAGGGAGATCAGCTATGGTGCTAATGTGGAAGAGCTTACCTAAAACGATACTTCTCAGTTCTAGTGGATACTATAACTCCTCTCCTATTCAACCCCAAAATGCCTTACAATTTCAATGAGACTCCAGCGTTCAGTAGAGAAAAAAACACTCTCGCCATTTCTTCTCTCTCTTTTTTTTTTAAATAGAGGGATACTAGCACTTGGTTCTAATCCTTCACAGACTAGGCCTTAGATTATAACAAGCAAGAAAGAAGTTTTCTCCCTTCCCTGCTTCATTAGCCTTAAAAAATTTTTTTTTTTTTAAAGATTAGTGTTTTAGCTGGGTGCAGTGGCTCACGCCTGTAAACCCAGCACTTCAGGAGGCAGAGGTGAGATGATTGCCTGAGCCCAGGGGTTTGAGACCAACCTGGGCAACTTGGTGAGACCTCGTATCTATAATAAAAAAAAAAAAAAAGCTGGGCATGGTGGCACATGCCTGTAGTTCCAGGCACTTGGAAGGCTGAAGCAGAAGGACTGTCTGAGCTCAGCAGGTTGAGGTTGTGGTGGCCGTGAGTGTGCCACTGCACTTCAACCTGGGCAACGAAGTGAGACTCCAACTCAAAAAAAAAAAAAAGATCAGAGTGTTTCAAAGGTATATTAAAGATCTAATTAAACTACTTTGTTGATATTAATCAGATTTTGCTTGCATGCCACACATTATCAAATTTGATACAGCATTTTCTCATCAGGTCATCATTTTAAATCTTAAGAACACTTAGGTATAATTTTCATGATTTTTTTTTTGTGTTGGGGTTTCACTGTCATCCAGGCTGGAGTGCAGTGGCACAATCATGGCTCACCGCAGCCTTGACCTTCTGAGCCAGTGATCCCTCCACCTCAGCTTTCTAAGTAACTGGGACTACCGGAACAGGCATGTCCCACCACTTTCAGCTAATTTTTTTTATTTTTTGTGGAAATAAAGTCTCGTTAGGTTGCCTTGGCTGGTCTTAAACTCCTGGGCTCAAGCAATCCTCCTTCCCCAGCCTCTCAAAGTGCTGGGATTACAGGCATGAGCCACTATGCCTGGCTGACTTTTCATGATTTTAAATGGTCATTCTGTATTTCACAGTCATAAAGAAGAACAAAATCAAGAACTTCACAGCAACCTGGATGGACTTAGGGTCTATAACTTAGTGATCTTTCACAGAAACAAAGAACTGAGTATCTATCACATGTTCTAACTCATACGTGGACCTTGAACAATTATCGTAATACTATAAGAAAAGGATTGGCAGCCGGGCTTGGTGGCTCAGCCTGTAATCCCGTGCTTTGGGAGGCTGAGGTGAGTGGACTGCCTGAGTTCGTGGGTTCGAGAACCACCTGGACAACTTGGCAAGACCTCATCTCTACAATAAATCAAAAAATGAGCCAGGCGTGGTAGTGCGCACCTGTAGTTCCAGCTACTTGGAAGGCTGAGGCGGAAGGATCATCAGAGCCCAGCAGGTTGAGGCTGTGGTGGCCGGGAGCGTGTCACTGCACTCCAGTCTGGGCCACAGAGTGAGACTCCAACTCAAAAAAAATAAAAAAAAGAAAAGAAAAGGATTGGCAGTAGCAGGAAACTGCCCAGAGGGGAGCAGGGATTGGCAGTAGTGGGAATCTGCCTGCGGGCGGGGGGCGGGGGGGAGCAGCACACCTCATTGACAAGGATACTTGCATAATGAACATTTGTATACCTAACCCTGAATGGTACCCCACATCTTTAAGATAGAAAAAAAAAGAAAAAGAAAAAAAAAAAGGTCATTCCATCTAAAAAAACATCAAAATAAAATCTCAATAGTTATTTGGAGTTGCTCTCTTTAGAAAATGGATTGCTGCAAATATTTATTTTTATAAAAACCAGAGTCAAACTTGCCAACTCTTTTTTTTTTTTTGAGTTGGAGTCTCACTCTGTCTCCCAGACTAGAGTGCAGTGGCACACTCCCAGCCACCGCAGCCTTGACCTACTGGGCTCCGGCAAACCTTCTGCCTCAGCCTTCCAAGTAGCTGGAACTACTGGTGTGCGCTACCATGACCGGCTAATTTTTTTATTTATTGTAGAGATGAGGTCTCGTCAAGTTGCCCAGGCGAGTCTCGAACCTGTAGGCTCAGGCAATTCACTCACCTCGGCCTCCCAAAGCACGGGATTACAGGCTGAGCCACCGAGCCCGGCCACTTGCCAACTCTTAACATCAGCTCTATCATCAAACAATTAGTCAGAGAAAGAAAATACTCTGGGTACATATGTTGACTTAGGAAGCCAGTATGATTTCTGTTAGCAAACGGTAAGATTCAGGTGAAAATAATTTAAAATGTATTACTTACTTTTGCAAACAATTCTTGCTGCTGCCTCAATAACTCTTCTTCAGGAATGCCAAGGTTTTCCAAACGAGAACTGGCCTTTCTTCTCTTTAATGCTACTGTCTTACATTCTTGTAAGACTTCTTTTACTTCACTGATGTAAGAGCCAAATCCCAAACTTTCTAGTGCTAGAGAAATAAAAATATAAAAATTTGAAAAAGTGATAAAACACAGCTTTTCCCCCACCTATGGAACATAAAGTTTTTGTAAGTTTTTCTTTGGGGGAGAGGAATGTTTTGCTGTTATCTAATAATTTTTACCTATTTTATAGTTGTATAATTGTCCCCAGACAATTGGCTAAAACAGAATGCTTTCTCCCTCAGCCTTCCAAGTAGCTGGAACTACAGGCACACACTACCATGGGGGGGGCGGAATATATATATAAATATTTTTTTTTTCCCTCAACCCGCTTAATATTAGAAGGCTGTGGTGTTATGACATAGATACTGGTTTTCTTCCATGGCTCCTGGCTTGTAACTCCCATAGCCCTTGTTACAGTCGTTTGTTAAATGTTAGGGCACTTTAGGTCTCATGAGCAGGCCCCTTAGGAAACAGAATCTCTCTCTGACCTTCTGTCCTCTTACCTGCCCAAAGTAGGACTCTAATCTAACTCTAAAAGACCATCATTCTAGAGAGATTCCTGCCTCATACTCTTGAGAAAGGAATGCTGAGAGGCGAAGAACCTAAACAAACAGGCCTTGTTGGGTTTCCCCACTAAGTCTGTTAGTATGAAATCAAATCCTTTTGTCCATTCACATTTCTACATGGTTGTCAATCAGACCTATGTAATGGAAATACCATACAAATCCAAAAGGATAGGGCTTGGAGAGCTTTCAGATTGCTAAACCCACAGAGTTCCTGGAGGGTGGCATGCCCAGTGAGGCATGAAAACTCCGTGCCCCTTTTCCCATACCTTGCCCTATGCATCCTTTTTTCTGTATCCTTTGTAATGTTCTTTATCATAAACTGGTAAATTTAAGTGTTTTGCTGAGTTCTATAAGCCACTCCAGCAAATCAGTCAAACCCAAAGAGGAAACCCCAACTGGAAACCAGTTGGTCAAAAGTTCCAGATGCCTGGACTTACATCTGTTGTCTGGTAGGAAGGAGTGGGGCAGTCTCGTAGGACTGAGCCCTCATCCTGTGGGATCTGATATATCTTCAAGTAGATAGTGTCAGAATTGAATTAGAGGATGCCCAGCTGGTTTCTGCTGCTTGACGTATAGGAGAAATCCCCCACCTTTGGTCACAAAAGTTTTATTTTGTGTTGATGATTGTTACGGTGATGTGACATGACAGAGGGAAAGACACGGTTTGGGAGAGTTTTTCCTAAAGCAAAGTTAAGGAACATTTCAAGGCACATCCCTTCACTTTCCCTTTCTAACTAATTTTTAAAAGATCAAAGCATTTTTTTGTGAGGAAAAAAGGTCCAATGCAAGAACATATGATTTTAGTAAGAAAAACATTTTTGCCATATCACTCTTAGTAATCAAACATCAAGTCAGTCACTTTCTGAATAAATACCAAAAAGGCAAATATTTGCAATGTATTTGTTAATAACTTTTTGTGTCACTTGGTTTTTAAAAAGTAGGCTGGAAACACATGTTCTACTAAGTTTCAGTAGGATAGGATAAAAGAACAGACAAGTTTTTCTTTTGTCCAATATACCAAGAGGAAACTATTTTTAGCAGGCGCTCAAACTACCAAGTTTAAGAAATACTAGGGGAAATAACTCATCAAATTTAGCATCTATAGGCAGCCAACAGGTTTTTCTTGAAAATAAAACTTAACAGGAAGTATTATAAAGTGATGTGGCAGAAAACCTGAGATGAAATAAGACTATAAGGACAGAAGAAGCATTAAAAAAAAATTATCCTTTTTTTTTTACATTTAGAAAGAAAATATTACAAGAAAAAAAAGCACACTCAAACCTACTTCTGTAATCCAAAAAAGACAAGAGATAAAACTTGCTTTTGGTTCATGGTATTTCAAATTATATTATATAGTTTCCTGTACTTTTTTTTTTTGAGTCAGAGTCTCTGTTGCCCATGCTGGAGTGCAGTAGCATGCTCATGTTGGAAGGTTGAGGTAGGTTTGCTTGAACCCATAGTCTTGACCTGCTGGGCTCAAGTGATCCTTCCACTTCAGCCTTCCAAGCAGCTGAAACCACAGGTGCGTGTTATCACACTTGGCTAATTTTTTTTTTTTTAATTGTAGAGACAAGGTCTCACCATGTTGCCCAGGCTGGTCTCGAACCTGGAGCTCAGGCAATCCTCTTGCCTCCGCCTCCCACAGTGCTGGGATTACAGGGGTGAGCCACCACCACATCCGGCCCTCCTGTATGTTGACTAATGCCCCAAAGGCATATTTTGTACTGTATTATGAACCAATGAAAAATACAGATGATGAAAAACACAGTAAATCAATTTAGCTCATCAGTTCTTATAGTCTTTTAACAATTAAGATGACTAAGACTGTTTTCAGTATAGATGCTCTCAATTCTAATTTCAGGGAGAATACCAAATATATCTTTACAAAGCAACATGCCCATGCAAGCTGTGGTTTTTTAGACATTCTGACTGATTTACAACTTTAATTTATTTCAAATATTAAGCTATTTTCAATCTTTTTAGAAAAAGTCTGATGTCAAAAAGCAGAGTACTGTACTAGTATTTGAATTTTAATGAGTTACTCCCCCTCTCCCCCCAGACCTCAGAAATGCATTATTCTGAGTTCTGTATATCAAATTCACCACCACATGATTCTGGCTCAAGGAGCTTGAGATATAGTGAAAAAAAAAAAAACAAATGAAGACTAGACAGCCTATATGTTTCACTTACATTGGCAGACTGATTTATTGTTTTAAGTGTCAGTGGTAGAAGCCAAAGTGTTCTATTATCTTTTCCCTTTATAAAGACACAAACATAGTAAAGTATTTCAATAAGATTGGCTAAAGACAATACCAAACAAAACCAAGTAAATGGTTTATGGTTTCCTACTGTATTCTAAAGAGAGTCTGATTCCCTTAGTCCTACACCAAGGTCTTACAGGATCTAGCACCTGCTACTTTTCCAGCTTTATTTCTGTCATTAAATCCCTACATACTTCTGCTAAATCTGACCGTTCAATGTTTTCCAACAGTTCCCCACATTCATGTTGATGGCAATGAATTCAAAGCACAGACTAAACCTCATCTACAAATTAAGCTAGCCTTATCCCAGACAGATGTACTCTCCCTTGTTTGAAATCAGATAGATCTAGAACTGGTTGATACAGAATTTGTATAACCTTAGATCCATTGCTTAATATCTCTAAGCTACAATTTTTCATCTATAAAATTAGAATAGCATGTATTTCATATCTTCTTACAACCAGGAGCAGTATAGTGGTTAAGCATGGAGGCCTTTAAAGCCCAACAGCCAGGGACTGACTCCCAACTTGGCCTACTATTAGCTGTGCGACTCTAGATAAGTTACTTCACCTCTGAGCCTCATAGTTTTCTTACCTCATGTCTACATCTCATTGGATCAGGCTGTTGTGAATAAATGAATTAATATAGATAAAGAGCTTAGGAAAGAGGCTGGCCCACAGAGGAAGTAAAATAAAACATTTAATATTATATTGTTATTAGTCCAGCACATAAGAATCACTTAACTGATTCAGATTATATATTACTCATCTTTATTTTTTTCCTCAAATTTAAAAGAATACCCTTGTAAGTATACAGGACCTAAATAAACACAGTTAGTTATATATTATCACATCTAAATTCAATTGAACAAGTATACTTATATTAAATTTACAAAATTAACAAGTCAACACAATGGAGAGACAAACTGTCAAAATGGCATGAATTACTGTATCAGACATCAAGAAAATTCAATCCAAACTACCTTTAACCATGTAGGGTGTAGATGAAAACATTTTAAAAAAGCTATAACTTTTAAAACATTTAGGGTTGAGAATAATGCTATCAACAAATTTGCAAGTAGGTCCAATGTCAATATTTGGTATTATTCATAGAGTTGCTATATATAAATACCGTACTCACAATAAAAGGGTTCAACAGGAGCAGCCATAAACTTAGTTTTAAGTATTGCATTGACTTTAATCTAAATTTTAAACATTTGGCTCATAAATCCCAATAACTGGACACAGCATATTAAACAAAAATATATTTTACATCATTTGTTACCATGTAGTAGTAATCATTTCCATTTTACATAAAAGAGAATATTGAAGGATAAGAGAAAGGATTCCTAAGCAGGGTTACCATTTATGGTTGTGTAGGTTGTTCAGTACTAGAATCATTCATACTGTAAACACCATAGATGTGTGTACTTACTATGACATTTTTTCTGGCAGATGGTTTTTAAGGAAGGAATGCCTTTTTCTAATTTGTACAAAGAACCTTATGGGCTGCTGATGGCTCTGGCTCTAAGGACTTCATCAGAGGAAAAGATAAAAAAGAAAAAAAACTTTTTAAAAATTTAAAAAGGTAAAACAAGCACATTACTGTCTGCTACCTTCTGCCGTACACCTTTTCTATCTTTTTATTTTAAGTTGGAGTCTCACTCTATCATCCAGACTGAAGTGCAGTGGCACACTCACAGGCACCCCGGTGTCGACCTGCTGGGCTCTGGCGATCCTTCCATCTCAGCCTTCCAAGTAGCCGGAACTATAGGCGCATGCTACCATGTTCAGTTAATTTTTTTTTTCTTTATTGTACAGATGAGGTCTCGCCAAGTTGCCTGGGCTGGTCTCGAACCCACGGGCTCAGGCAATCCACTTGCCTCAGTCTCCCAAAGTGCTGGGATTACAGGTTGAGTTACTGAGCCTGGCCTACCATACATCTTAAAACCACACTCAGAAAAGCCTTTGGTGTACAATGGGGGAGGGAGGGGGGCAAATAGCACTTTTTTTTTTTTAACATAAAAGATGCTAACAAGACAGCAACTAAAAAAAAAAAATAGGAAAAGGCAAGAACTCCTCTCAAACGACAATAATCTTAATAAAGGCTTACCTTGTTTTACAAAGTGATATACACCTAAAAAGTTTTGTTATAACATTAAGTTGTATGAATCACTTTATATTTCAAATACATAAAGCATTTAAAAAGCATGAAGCAATA